TATACCACGTCTGTTTTATTGATAGAATTCCGGTTCCTTTTCAGGAGTTCTTAAGGGAACAAGTATGTTCTGGTGTGCTTACTGAAGAAGGTGATGATGATGTATTGACCAAGGCTCTTGGGAAGCCCGAGCACGGTGGAAGAGTTCGAGGTCAAGGAATGCATGTGAGGAAGGCTGTGTATTTCAATCTCCCGCGTTCAAAGAAGCAGAAGACACAAACAACGGTTGATGAGCAAGTGAAGGAGGGTGTGAGACAACTTTTGGCAGAGGAGGTGAATAACATTGTTGCTTCAAGAGATGCTTTTTGGATGGCTGAGATAGAGAAGTTGAAATCAGAGATCTGGAAGAAACAAGGAACTAGTCCCGCTGTCCCTTCCCAAGAGGCTAGCTACTCACCTAAATTCAGGGAAGGTGGGCAGAATCAACAAGTGGTAAGGAAGAACCTTAATGACTCATTTGATGCAGACCTTGAACCACTTAGAGAGAATAATGACATTGATGATGAGTGTAATCATATACCGTCCGTGGCAATTCCTCATGATGATCATGCAAAGGTGGAGAAGCTTGTGGGAGTTGGAGGACTTAAAGTAGAGAAGAATATAGAAAAAGATGTCTTGGCTGATGTTGATTTTGGGGAGAGCCAAATGGCACAGCTTGCTGTTGGTTCTGTGGACAATATTGTTGCACATGCAAAGGTGTATGGATTCTCCCGGATGGATGACCTCACCCTACATGATGAAAAACTGGGTGAAGAATATGCAAAGGTGTCCATTACAGAAGCAATAAAAGGTTTGCATGAGCAAGTTATTAATATTTTGAATGTATTAGCTAATGATGAAATGCACACATTTTAGAAGTACTCATGTTTTTAATCTTTGATATTTTCCAGATGTTGACATTCCAGTCCCAATCCCCGGTGAAGTACTTACTGTTGAACAAGCCAAAGGAACTTTTGTAGCATGGCCTAAGGAGCTGATAGTCTTGGATGTGCTTCCTAAAGCAAAGGTTATTTTATCTCTACTATTATGTCTACTTGATTCTTTTAGATAATATATTTACCCACGTGCACATTTTTTGTAGAGCAATTTAAAAACTATCAAAAAGAAAAAGGCCCCTAAAAGATTGAAAAAGGCACATGTTCAAGACGATAAGGAATGTGGCCAAGAGTTCCAAGTAGAATTTGGTGCTGAGTATCCACTGCAGTTGAAACGGCTATGGTTGTGGGCTAAGGAAGCATTGTCTGATGATAGAACACATACTTTTGTCCTTAATAAAGATGCCTTTGGGGTGGAAAAGAAGTTATCAGTTTTTCTGAGTGATATACATGCTCTGTGCGCTCGTGGCGAGATGGCTGGAAGCATAATTACATTATACATCCAGTAAGAATGTCATCACACAAACATTTTATTTTCATTGTTAAAAGCCTTTTGATATAAAATTCTTATGGACAAGTCACATAACTATCATGTAACTACCCTTGCAGCTGCCTGTATGAGCTTGTGAAAAAAAACAAAATGCTTCAGATGATCTCTTTCGTGGATCCCGGCATGGTAGGGACGCTTGCATGTGGGAACATAGGGCAGAGGTCACGCAAGCTTGCTGATCGCTTTAAGGGGGCCTGTGATGGACAACACTTTCTAATACCGTTCAATGACGTGTAAGTATGTTTAAGTTGTTCATGTCAAGAACTGATGTTCTGAATTGTTTCTTCCTTGTGAACTTCGTCTTCAATTTGCATTTGTAATGCTTTGTTAATACA